TCTTCCTGCCCCCCCTCGGCACGGCCCCGGTGACCCCTCGGTCCCCGGCACCGGTTAAAGCGTTTTAAAGCAGAAATTACCGAATAGAGAGCGGGCGTTGTTCGGTCTGGGCGAGTAGCCCCGGCAGGCGGCACGCGGTGGCCGGGCGGAAGCACGGCCCCAGCTCTCTGATTTTGTGTCCTTTCGTCCGTTTTCAGGATATTCAGCACACGGAGGAGTTCTTCATCAAACCCGAGTCCCGCGTGGCCCAGCTGGACACGTCGCAGTGGCCGCTGCTGTTGAAGGTAGCGCGGGTCAATGGGCTTTTTCTTTTGATCTCTTTCTCAAAGCGTGCATGTACAGATGCAACGCTCCTCCTCGGTGTTTTGTAGTCTGTTCTAAAAAACAGCTTATGTGACCCTCAAAACACAGGCTAAGCCACTGCCTGCAGAAGTCATGCTATAAAATTTGACCAGCCTTATTGTTTGCATACTACTCTTGAAGTTTCTAGTCTCTTGTAAAGACCGCACAGGATTCTTTCAGCTATTCTTTATTTTGGTCTGAGAGTGGCCTATGGCCTATGTAAACTCCTGAGCTCTTTGTACAGAGGTGCTGAGGCATGCTGGTTTTATTTTGGTTTTTAAAGCTTTTCATTCTGCTACTTTGACATCTTTTCCTGTGGAGGGTTTTTTTCCCTTCTCTTTCCAAAAAAAAAAAAAACAACTCTGCAATTGCATTCCTAGGTCATTTTAACTTTGGAAGAGGTGGTCCCAGTTACGTACACACTAATCAGACAACGTGTAATTGCGGAACGCATTCGGGCAAAGCTCTGTTGAAACAAGTACAGCGAGCTCGAGAGTGTTTTACTTATGGTTTTACTTTTGCTTGGATTTTATAGAACTTTGACAAGTTAAATGTGTTGACAGCACACTACACACCCCTTCCTTCTGGTGCTAATCCGCTGAAGAGAGAGATCTCTGACTACGTTAGGTGAGTGTAATAACTGCAAGAGTGTTTATATCTTTCTTTCAGAGCTAATATCTTCAGGTAATTTTGTGATGGTGATAGCTTGAAAATAAGTGGCAGTGACCGCTTTTGTCTGATGTTTTGTGTTTTGAGGTTCCTCGTGTACCTTTCTACTTGCCTTTGTACCTTGCTGTTAAACAGTAAATCTGGAAATAGACCCACTGGTCGCTTCTTGTGAAGTTTGCTTTGTTCCGGGTTAGCAGCTCGCCTGCCAGCAGGCGTGCAAATGGGGTCTTATGGAAAGTCCTTCAGCCTGCCAGTCGTGGAGACTGCTTGGAGTTTGTGTGCAGTATTTTGATTGAGTTTAAGCACTCAGTAGTGATCAGCCGTCTGAAGAGATGAAAATTGCTTGATCTTGAAATACACAGAGAGCTGTGGGCAGAGTAACTCCTTGTGGTCTCAGTGGGAGCAACTGTGGTCGTAGGCTCTTATTTGGCTCTTTATTTAGAAATATATTTTCTTTTGAAGACGTGACAAGTCATCAATGGTTCTTTGCTTGCTCTGTTTGCCCTGATGCTTAATTTCTCATCTCTGTCATCTTGCACTTTAGGTCAGGCTTTATTAACCTCGACAAACCTTCCAATCCATCTTCGCACGAGGTGGTTGCATGGATCCGACGCATCCTTCGAGTGGAGAAGACTGGACATAGTGGCACTCTGGATCCTAAGGTGACTGGGTGCCTGATTGTGTGCATTGAGAGGGCGACACGACTGGTCAAATCTCAGCAGAGTGCAGGTATGTTTACTACCCTGGGACCGTTTACAGTCTAAGTGACTGGGGAAGTGCAGAGTTCTTCTGAAGACAAGCTGGAGATTACCATTCCTGCCTACAAAAAGGGCTACTCTTCACCTTGAGTGACTTAAATTTGAGGGTTGTTTATAGTGAGGCCATGTCAATACCATTGCAAGTGTTTTGATCGTTTTTCCCTGTCAGGGTCTTATGCTGTTTTAGGTCAAGGAAAACATTTCTGAGTGACTGGTTTCGTATGTTAACTGAACTCATGGCTATAGGTGGCCTCAGTCTACAAGTTCAGTCAAACAACACTTGGTGAAGAAACACACCTGCAACTTAGATTTTTTTTCTTCTGTTGGAAGAATAAGCAACTGCATAACATATTGCTTGTGCTGTCTAGGAAAGGTGGTTGTGAAGATACCTGTTGGGCTGTCTAGATGTTTCACTATGTAGCAGTGTGCACCTTGAGGTCAACATTAAATGCAAGTGGCCACTCCTGACTGCTCTTGTCGTCCTTTTAGGCAAAGAGTATGTGGGAATTGTTCGGCTGCACAATGCAATTGAAAGTGAGGCCCAGCTGGCCAGGGTAAGTCTCTGCACGCTGTTAGCCATGCTGATGCTTGAAGTGCAAAGCATTCAGCGTCCCTGGGAGATGACGGCAGGAATGGAACTCAGGTGTGTTTTGTATGTGAGGTGATGACGAAGTTTATCCATTCTCTGAGTGCAGTGGCACTGCCCTCCTGCAGCACCCTGATTCCTGTTCTAGGATCTGGGTGCTGTGCAGCCTCCAGAGACCCTGCAGTCTCCGAGTGTCCTACTGGGGGCTGCTGGGGCCTGTGGCTGACTGCCTGCAGGAGTGAGGTGTGCTGGCAGGGTCGGAGCCCTTGTCTGTGGGGGCTCCGTCCCCACCAAGATGAGGGATGATGTCTGATCACCTACTGCCACCTGATTTTAAAAAAAAAAGCCCAGCTATGCCTCACTGACAGCTGGGGCAGTATTTTGACCACATCCCTGGTTCATTTTGGCTTTTTAAAATGTGAAGTAGCCAGATGATGATGAACCTTGTGGGTTCTCACTCATGGAAGTGGTCCAAATGCCTGGAGACCTCAAGGCATTTTTATATTACATGTGCTAATGGAAGAAGTGTGACCTGTTACTTCTACTTCTGCCCGCAGGCAATAGAAACTCTGACAGGCGCACTGTTTCAGCGACCGCCCCTCATTGCTGCTGTGAAGCGACAGCTGAGAGTCAGAACCATCTATGAGAGCAAGCTAGTGGAGTATGACCCTGAAAGAAGATTAGGTAAAATACCACTCTGTCTTCTCTATTTTTAACCACCAGCTGATAAATTCCCTGTGAATTGGGCTGCTTTTTATTCTTTGCAGATGTCATAAGTTAAATTCTTGCCACGATCAAGCAGTAGCTGCTTCTTGCCTTGCTTCTGTGCGCTGAGAAGCAAATCTCATTTATACGTCAGTAGAGCTGAGTCCTCCACTGAAGAGCCAAATGATGTCAGCTAGATGGCATTAGCACTCTGTGCAAAGATGACTTTCATCTATCACCCAATGCTGATGGCTCTGTGAGAGGCTAAACACAAAGCTTCTCGACATGGTTTATTTCTAGATATATGTTTAAGTGCTCTTCTCTTGGCCTGGCCTGTGTTTCAGGTATCTTCTGGGTGAGCTGTGAAGCAGGCACGTACATCCGAACACTCTGTGTTCACCTTGGCTTGCTGCTGGGTGTTGGAGGCCAGATGCAAGAGCTCCGGAGAGTGCGCTCAGGGATTCTGGGAGAGAAGGTAGAGTGGCGACTACCTATAACCAGCAATTTTGGAATTGTGAGAGTTCCCCAGAACTTTGTTGCTCTTACAGCGTTAGAAGAAAGTATAGGTGCGTGGTGCCTGGGAGAAGTTACGTTTGTGAACAGCCCCCAAAACGTGGGAGCTTTTGCTATAGATGCCTGAACCAAAGTGTTGAGTTCAGTTCAGGGTGGTTGCCCCTGTTCTGGTAATTAAACTTTGGGACAGTGAGTGGCTGGGAAGTGCACCATGGTGACTGGAAGTTTTCCTATGCCACCTGTGTTTCTCAGCCTACAAGCCATGCATGTGCCGTGAGTTCAGGAGTGTGAGCTATCTGCTTAGCTATCTACAACCACTTGGTGTCGTGTGGCACAGTGCAAGGCACGTGCTTCCATTGAAATGAGCTCAGGGGATGCCAGCCTTCAATGATCCTGAACACTTGCGTAGGCTTTTCAGTGTGGACATAGCTGCATCCCGCTGCCAGTCTGAACTCCAGGACCAGTTTCTCTCCCTGTAGAGCAGAAGTATCAGAGTGCAAGTGCTCCTCCATCCATCTGTGCTCTTACCACAGATGTAATCATTTGCAGTCATTTTTGAATTCCAGCTGCTGGATGCTCACAGCTGCTTCAAGAATTTTTTGCCTGTCACAGTTTGAGGAGCTGGTTAATTTAAGCTTTTACTCCCCGATCTCCTTTGTCTAGAAGTCCCAGGTATTTGCGTAAGCTTAGTCTCACGTCAGGTGTTTCACGTACCTATGTACTAGATCCAAGTGCAGTCTGAGGTTAGGACAGTTGAAGCCTGCAGTAACAAAGGTCAGGGCCAGAGGGTTTCAAACTGTTGCTGGAAAATATTTGTTCTTGCCTTTTTTAGGTTGCTTTTTTGACACTTCTGAATTCAGAATCTGTTCTCTGCTCCTTTTCAGTACAGAATTTGCCATTGGTCTTTAGCTGTCTTCTCTCGTGTCTGTTTTCGAGTTGGCAGCTGATTGGAGAGTTTAGAAGGGTTGTGTCTTTTCAGGACAACATGGTGACTATGCATGATGTACTGGACGCGCAGTGGCAGTACGACAACAACAAGGATGATAGCTACCTGCGAAGGGTTATCCTGCCCTTAGAGAAGCTACTGACTTCACACAAGCGGCTAGTTATGAAAGACAGTGCGGTAAGTTGCCAAGTTAGTGCTGGAGACTGCAAGCACCCTCCTATGTGTATAGCTAGTATAAGAAAGGGAGGTTAAGGATCCTCATGCTGTACAGCACCATGTAGGACTTAGTATGGCCTGCTGCCAAATCAGCAGTAAGATACAAGAGCCCGGAACTGAATGGCACAGATGCTGCTCTCCTCACTGTAGGAGGATGTGTGATGCTTATAAGAGACCTGCCTCACACCTTGTTTGCTGAGGCAGGTGCTTTCCTTTGTTTGCCTTCTCCGAAGCCCTCAAGTTTGTTTCTCGTTGTCCACCATACAAAACATGGGCATGTTATTTTTGGGACAGTAATGACGAGGGGAAGCTAAAATGATCTGAGACGCTTCTTAAGGTACTTTGTCTTCTGCAATAGACTGTAAGACCTGCTGTTCCCCACCTCTGCAGGTTAATGCCATTTGCTATGGAGCCAAGATCATGTTGCCTGGTGTCCTGAGGTATGAAGATGGCATTGAGCTTAATCAGGAGATTGTTGTCATCACCACAAAAGGAGAAGCCATATGCCTAGGTATGAAGCTCCTTGTTCTTGTGTCTGGCTAAACGCAGAAATAAGACTATCTTCCAGTGAACGTATGAATTCCTATGCACAGTAAGCTTAAATAGCCTGATGGGAATTGTGGAGTGGTTTGGCCTAATAAAGGAGGATGTAAGGCAGCTGGCATTGAGCATGAGGTTAAGAAACAGCAGCTGCATCAGAGCCAAGTTGCAAGCTGGGTAATCCATTGCTTGTGTTAGGGTCATCAGAAATCCTTGCACTCCTATTACCTCTTATACAGCCTATGAGTTATCTTTTTGCTTTGGAGCTGGTTCTTGGCAAGGCATGAAGGATTCCTCTCCTTCAGCTGCATGAGGCTCAGGTGTGTTTTGTATGTGAGGTGATGATGAAGTTTATCCATTCTCTGAGTGCAGTGGCACTGCCCTCCTGCAGCACCCTGATTCCTGTTCTAGGATCTGGGTGCTGTGCAGCCTCCAGAGACCCTGCAGTCTCCCAGTGTCCTACTGGGGGCTGCTGGGGCCTGTGGCTGACTG